GTTTCTTTCTCACCCTGCAACATTAATAAGCGCGGAGGAAGTTAGATCAGTTTAACCTCAGATCACGGGCGGATCTACGGGTAGTACTTTGGGGCTGAAGCTCCCCCCCCCCAAAAAATGGTATATAAATTTTTTTAAACTTTATATTATGTACCATGACAAAAAAAGTAATAATAATTTTTATTAGGCAACTAAACTCAATTTAATCGTTGAGCATCTTAATTTAATTTTAGCCATATCTTAATTTTTTTTTTTCTCATCCAAGTGATTTCCCAAATAGACCAAAATAGAATATTAATAAATATGTACCAATATTTCGGACAAATAAAATCGACCATGAATAAAGCTACATCATGCAAGCTTAGGTGAAAGGGATGGTTTTGAATAACAAAGAAGAAAAAACAAGTGTTTCACTTTAGTGTATTACAGAAAATATTTACAATATTAACAAAAAATAAAGCAAAAAAAAAAGCTAACCATAATGACTATTTAGAGTATAAAGACAAAAGAAAAAACAATACTTATTAACAAAACAACAATCTATTTGGCGTGCCAAAGCTAAACATGGCAAATAAATAAAAAGAAAGCACTTGCATATGCAAAAATTGTACAAAATATAAAAAGTTATCTTAGATTTCCCTAGGCATCCTAAATTTCTTTTTCCAGCAATGCTGCCAACCTCGGTTACACTACATATTAGTTCACGGGTGGATCAACTGGGGGGGGGGGGGGGGGGGAGGCCTTCAGCCACAAAGCTCCCCTCCCCCAAAAAATGGTAAAATATAACCATGTTTTATGGAAAAAATATTTAAAAATTATCTCTTAAAGTATTATTGTTCGTGTAATTACATTTAAAAGGATTTTAGGAATCACTTAAACTCCATTTCAAATAGTTAGTTAGTTTTTTTCATTTTTTCCGAAGCAATTTTCGTTATTTTTATGAAAAAAAAGCTTTCGGGTTGAAGCTTCTCCCTCTCCCCCCAAAATTAAATCCTGAATCCGCCAGTGCCTCTGATTATCTGGATATTTCTCTACCACCATCGGAATTTTCACTTGCCAATTTACAAATGAAACTGTTAATTCAAATAATTTCATTATTCATTAATGTGACTATTATTTATTTTAAGTTTGTTTTTTGTTTTTTTCTGTTGGCATTACAGACCTCGTCGATCTTCTGCCGCCTAAATCCAGCCTTTCCATCTCTGTCTATCTTGGGCTATTTTTTTCTAGTTATCTGAATGCAGGCAGCCTATTGCATCTTGTTGATTCGATCTATCCATCTGTGCTCATTTTCTGTTATATATGCTCTATATAAATATAATATTGATATAATAATTTTATTAATTTTTATTGTATTATATGTTTTTTAAACGGCCTTTATTACCATTAAAGTTTTTTTGCCTTTAGATTTTAATTTTAAGAACAACCTTCTATAAGCATCGTGATCATCTTTTAAATAGCTTTTTGGTTGAATTCGGTTTTTGTCTTAATATGTTTATGCACTCATATTTTACTTAGAAATTCGCTTATTTATTTTATTTTTATTTTTTAATATAATAAGTCACCAAATACACTTTTGTTGGAACTGAAATTTTAAGAACGATTTTGTGAATTTCGACCTTATTTATCGATATAAATATAAATATAATATTGATATAATAAATTTATTTATTTGAATATGATAAATAATTTTATTAATTTTTATTGCATTTTATGATTTTTAAACGCCCTTTATTACCATTGAAGATGTTTTGCCTTTAGATTTTAATGGTAAATGTCTGTGAGCTTGAAGCACTATTTCAGATAGTTTTTCAAAGATTTTCCAAGACTTCTAACTTCTAATAATTATTTTTTTCTATCACGGTGGGAGCGGGGAAGCTCAGTAAACAAGGCAATGTACTTCTATTCTCAGGTTTATTTTTTCTGTTCCGTTAGCCTTGAACCGAACCAAGGTTCGAGAGACTCTGATTGGAGTCTCACACCCATTCTCTATAAAGTGGGTAATCTAAATTAATTGATTGATTCAAGGGAAACACCCAGACATTTCAGCGTGATTTCGACCCAATAAACTACCTGCACATCCTTTGTTTGGCTTTTGAACCCTCTTACAAAATATTGATCCCAAGAAACCTTCATTAGTTGTAGCTGTACTGTTTTTTATTTTACTTTTTTATATTTTCTCAGTGAAATTTTCTTTTGTCAAATTAGTACATCAATGCAATGACATAATAATGCATGTGTGATATATCTCATATCTTGCAAAACATTTCACAACCTTCAATAATCATCATGATAATTTTTTTAATTGTTTTTCTGTTGAATTCGGTTGTTGTTTAAACATGTTTATGCACTAGTATTTTAATTCGCTTATTTATTTTCCTTTTCTTTTTTAATGTAATAAGTCACCAATTACATTTTGTATGAAGCTAAAACTTTAAGAACGATTTTGTGAATTCCGAACTTATTTATCGATACAGAAACACGGCAAGAGCACCAACGTGAAACAATTTTTTTTATGCATCAAATAAAATGCACAATTTTCTGTTTTCACAAAATGAAATTCTCAGTGATTTAGGATTATGAAGCGGATATATATAGAATAGAATAAAAAATGAACTTTATTCTGGTACGAGGTCCCTTAAGAATAACGATTATGAACAAAAAATAAAAACCACATCAGGCCAAAAATTATATTAATCAAAATTGAAGAATATATACAATATTTACAGTGAAAGTATATTAAAACGAATAAAAAAGTAACACCATTTTGAAAAAAAAACACACTATTCAAATGAAAGGAAAAATTAAATCAAGTAAAATAAAATGTTATAAGCACTATGGGTAGATTCTTAAAATTAAAACTAAAAAAAGTCAAAAACCTCAGCAAAATTTGATTCATAATATTTATTTCATCGCACAACGTCATTTTTGGATGTCAGAAGGAATTGGTAGACATGATATTTGAATGAGGACAAGGAAGAAGCATGGCGGATATCAGATGGCAAGGAATTCCAGAAGGCAGTGGATCGGGCAATAAAGGAATATTCAAATGTCTTAGTTCTATGGGAAGGGATATAAAGGTCGGAAACACGGGATCTTGTTTTCTAAGAGTGGACCACGGGAACTGTAGGAGACTGTAGATGTAGGAAGGGTGCCCGGTGTTGATATATATTAAATTCTAAATATGTTATTGGATTTTAAAACACAATATTTTTTTTTTAGTTGTTATCTCTTGCTGCTTGTTCATGTAATATTAACCTAACAATAATAATATTCATTCATGATAAAAACTTATGTAATTTTCAAGATTATCTTTCTTTAGTTGACGCGTAATCGACTGATAAACCTAAAATAACCTTAATATTTGTATATGTAAACTGCTCATCTGGAAACGAATTTTTGAAAATACGTTTCTATTATGTATCTCAGCCAACTGAATACGAAAAACTAAATAATTCAATCATCTTTATAATTCTGTAAGTGAATGTATTTATCACGTCCATATACTTGTTATAACCTAGCTGTGCGATTGATTGATTAAATTCAACATCATGGAGTTTCACGTGAATCTAGATTTTGACCCTAGTCAAAACGACTTTTCTTCCAGTGAAATGTTTTCATAAACTAGATCCATTAGCCTTTTCAAAATTATTCTGTCACTAAATGTTCATCTATCTTCACGCCCACGTTTCGGCACTCATTAATCAATCTGATTGCGACGACGGCCTATTTTTAATCGTAGATATAATCAATGATGATATCTTATAATACCCGGTATTTCTATGGTAAGATTTACTATCCTTGTTAATTGGTGACCTAAAACATCTAGTTTCCGTTAAATAATAATAGTTTTAAGAAATTATTAGTCATAAGTTTTTAGTCGTTCTCCATTACCATCTATGAAATAAGATATATTTTTTAAAAAATCTATAGCATCCCGGTGATATATTTAACATGTATATACTTTGAACCTTGTTTTCAATAATTCGTTTTTTATCATGAAAAATATTTGTCTTTTTTTTTGTTCTCCATAGAATTTTTTCATAGATTATATTTATTCAGTTCTAATTAGCAATGATAGAGTGTAAATTATTTAAAATTAACTATACTTTACTTGAAAATTCACTGACATACCATTTAAATAAGGATTACCTGATATTAAACATCATTCAATTGTACGTCCATAAACCGTGTTTAATCAAAATTTTAAGAGCTGTTTTCAATAGAATGGTAAAAATGCATAAAACAAAAGATATAAAAAATATTGTGTATATTTATCCATTCTGTGCAACTACTAAAATGAGAGATTTTTTAATTATTTCTAATAATCAAAATTAAAGAAATGTTAGAGGAAGAAATTTTGAAAATTCGACATTTAAATCCTTTCAGACTATTTGAATAAGATCTCCTACATACTAAATACCGTATAATTGCACATTGATATAACAAGTTTCATCGAAATCGTTACGTTACATTTCATGTAAGTCGATTTTAATGAAAAAATACCGTATTATCCCATTGTATATATTTTCTTTAAATACGTTTAAATTAAGTATTGTAATTTATTACAACTTTTTTTTAAAAATTAGTTTGTTCCCCCATTCAGGCCTTAAAACGTGCATTTACATTAAAAACTTAAATTTGAACTTTATTAATAATATATATCTCAATATAGTAACAATATGGAAGCCTCTATACGTAGCTGATGGATAGATCGAATCAAAAAACATGCAATAGAACTCCATGGGGATAACTGATAAGAAATAGCCCAAGAAAGGGGCAGAGATGGAGTAGTGTTGTTAAGACTGCAAAAGATCTAAAAGGTCTGTAATGCTAACAGAATATATATATATATAATATATAATAGATATCAAAGGTTAACTATTATTTATTTACTACATTAAGACTGATTGTACAATGTTTAATGTTAGTTTAATAGTAAATAACAGGTTTTAATCACCTGATAAACAAATGAACGATAAGCAATGACAGTAGTTGCTCATCTGTTTCTCTAGTTCTGTGTGTTTTAGTGTGAGTGAATACTGTGACACAGTTCAATTTATGATTATCGTGGTATACACCATAAATTTATTCAATTTTGTAGAACAAACGGACATGCTTTTAACTTATGGTGAGGCACATATATACCTGTTGTAATAATAATAAATAGATAGTAATAATAAATGATAAATCTTTAAACTTTGATATCTGTTTAATAAAGGAGTTTGAGACATATGTTAATATGAACTTTTTTGTTTATTTTGTGTTAGTGAACACATACCTAAAATAGTGCCGTGCAATTATGAAACACCCTGTATATCAATAGGTAAGTTAAAGAACAATTAATTAAAAAAAATATATAATTGCAACGTAAAATAATGTAAAACTAGAAAATATAGGAATGTTTCTGTTGGATGAAGTGGGTGATCATAGAGTAGAGATGGACAATAGGTGATTGTTTTGCACTATCGGTAGTAACGATAGTTTAGTATGTTCCCACAACAGACTTAAGGAAAATTTATTTTCACTGCATTCTTTAGTTATTTGTTGCATTAACTTGTCGCATAACCTTTATACCAATAATTTACATTTATGTTGGATGGATTGTTAAAGATATATCCAGATTTAGGCATTAATAAAAATGATGAAATAATCGACTAAAAAATTTATTGACAAGCAAATACATTTATATACAAAAATAATTGATATTTATTCCCATGAATGTCAAATTCAAACAAGAAAAACATACGACGATATATATTATTGTTTGAACTGTTTAAAGTATTGTTTTAATTGTATTAATTTTTACCTAGAAGGCTTCTTCTCGTTCAATTTTATATATCGACCGGTATGGTTATAATAACACGCCATCATACTTCTATCCATTTATTTTTTTGATGTGACGATTCGGAACATTTTGCAACATCAAACATTTCACTTTTACGTTGTTACTTTATCATTATATCTCGTAAATCAATAGAAGGATAAGAAGTATGGAGACGAGTAATTAAAATTATTTCTTTAAATATAGAAAATGTACATTTTTTTTCCCCTCCCCTTCCTCGCCTTTAAGACTATACGGGTTTTTTTCCGGGTCGGGGGCTGTGGGCGGAGATTTCATTGATTTTATTTTACCTGTTATCCTTAAATTTTATTAAATTTACATTTTCGATCTTAAAATCCACTAAAAGTTTGTAATGGGAGAGGCTAAATGTATAAAAATACAAATACAGTGAAATGAAGTGTCCGCAACGAGTGTATATAGCGAGCTTTTCTCTGTAGCTAACGGTTTTATAATCTCCGTCTGATTTCATTACTTGGACAGTATACATTACGGGTGTTCTCTATAACGTTCGGGGTGGCTTAGGACAAAGATTTTTATTAAATAGTTTCTTTATAACGGACATCAGGAAGCCTAGTAAAGCTCATACCGCTATTGTTAGTGCAAAAGGTCGTACGTATGTTTACTGAAATATAAACATACCAAAAATGGGATGTTTCACTGGAGGAGATAAAAACTTATTATTTCTTTTTGATTTATCAGTTTAATTTCATATTTCACTTTCATCTGCTATTTTCCATAGAAGCAGGCTAGTGTAGCAGTTGCAGACTAGAAAATGTCACCTTTAGCACAAATAGATAAAATGGAAAATTTTTAAATACTACCTTCGGCACTTGTGAAACTGTGATAACATTAATCCAATTTATAGTAAATGTATGGGATATGAACTATTGATAGTCATTACGGCTAGTTTTAAACCGTATATAGTTTTAAAACTATCGATATATCTATAGTGCTATCACAGTTTATTGCAAAATTCATTAAAAATCAGTAAGCACAAGTCTGACGATGAAATAAAATATAAAACAATAGCTAATATAGTTCAAAGTTGCATGAAAACTGTAAAAAATATTGCAATATATATATATATATATTAATGCGAAATAATTATGATTCCGGCGACATGTCGAAATTAATTTCTATTCATCTCCCATTGAACTTTCCTCAACAATTAGTGGAAGGTAGATCCTCACATCATAATCAGCATTCGAAAGTGACTATGTTTATGTAACTCATCAAAGGATAGTAACCCTAAGGTTACATAAAAAGCTAACAGTGAACGTATAACTATTTAAAATTGTGAAACATGAAGAAGCGGTGCTATAACCGGTCGTTTACTGATCTTGAATTTTATTCTCTCATCGTCGACAGTTTCATTACCATCTAAGGAGAAAATAAAGAAGTGGAGGAGTCTAATGTCAATCGATTAGTAAAAAATTATAGTCGAAACCATCAAATTTACAAATATAAAGCAGGAAGAAAAATAATTAACTCAACATACAGCTGTTCAATTTGTTCAACATAAAAGGCACACTTAATTAAACAAACGACTTGTCGTACCTTTTTAACATATGAATCTTGAATTTTTATATCTAAAGATATTTATGCATATGGAATAAAACTCCTAAAAAAAAAAGATTCATAGTTTTAAAAGACACTGGAAATTCGGCGATGAGCTTGATTAAGAAGAAGAAGCACCATTTTAAAATATTTTAACTTTTCCTGCCATCTTCAATCAATGCCATGAAATATACTAATACTTCTGTATATTTATATATAAGTTCATATATTGTCCTAAGGATAGAAGAGTATGCTGTGTATATAGCAACCCAATATAATTGGGCAGCAATCCTTTATATTTTATATTTTATGAAAATAAAGAGTTTCTCTCTCTAATCGGCCGTGGATTGACCCTGGGGTCGGGGGACCATCTTGAGGGTACACTCAATTAAATAATTAATTAAGTAGGAAAACCTGGCGGTTGAGCGTGATCTCAGTCAAATCACCTCCTTGCACTACCGTTGACCAAGAAACAGTACTTTTGTTACATAGTACTGAATCCAAAACTCTTCATAGGTTGTATTGGTAAAGGTATTTTTTTTTTTTTTTAAACTATTACTAGTTTTGAAAGAAAAAAGTGTGAAAGATAAATTCGACTTAAGAAACGAAAAAAAAAAAATACGAATGCACGACAAACACAGTGTCAAGAACTTACAAGAGCCATTTATTCGGTTATATGAATAACTATTAAATGTTTTGGAGAGAATTTCAAAATATCTAATCCTTAAAGTTTGATAATATGTAAGGAGCGATATAAAGATGTAAAATGTAAATAACGATATAAAAATGTAAAATTCCTAACGTAGCCTTTGATCTTTGTTTAATGATTAAAATTGATTACAATTAATATCACAAGAATAAACATTTGGTGCAATTCTCAACTCAATTGACTACAAAGAGACAGAAAACACGAAGCATATTTTTCTTTGAGGTCTAAAACATTAAACGCGAATGAAAATTTTCGATTGTAAGGTTTTTTTTTTCTTCATTTTCTGTATGAATCTAAAGTTTTTATTTCGTTGTTTCGTTAGTGAGGAAGTAAGACATGTTTTTGTAATAAGAAACAATTAAAAAATACCGCAGGTATATGCTATGTATATTTATTCACATTAAAATCTTCAAAAATTTGTTTTTAATTTTTATTTCGTAACATTACTCAGCAGTGAATACAACCAAGTAATTAATGTTGATTATTTGTTTTAAAAAAAACAGGATCAGAACAAAGGGGACAATTTATTTGTAAAGAAAAAAATTATATTAGGAAAAAAATATTATTATATTAAAATTTTAATTTATAAGTGTTTATTATTATCTTTATTTATTTATTTTATTTTATTAAATTTTAAATCCTTTTTTATCTATTTTTATTTATTTTTATTATTTTTTTGTTCTAACCACCTAAACAGTATAAAGATAGTGTTATTCAGTTCATCGGGGGGTGATGATATGGATGGTTTGCGCCTAGATATTGGAACAGACAAACAATTTATATTGGGCCAAATTCGAGGGTAATTATAGTTTTTTAGATGAATTAAAAAATATTTATTTCAGATCTTATTTTTTAAAGTTTTACCTTAATTTAGTAAAATAGGTGAAACTTAAAATACGATGTTCATTTATATTTATTTATTAACTAAAATACTGTTACAAAGCTGTAAACGTTTACTTAAGAGGGCAGGAGTAAAATGTGAGTATCAAAATTAGCGACCAGCAATCTCTGGCAATAAAGCTGGTTTTGACAGAAAAAGACAAACAAAAAAATTACACTATATTAATTTCATATAAGTAACAAAAGTATTTATTATTATTATTTTTTTTGTTCTGTTTGGACTTACTTTTTTTCATCATCATTAATCATTTAATAAATCATTTATTATTTTATATCTACTCATATTCATTTATTTTTTTTCACCATGTTTTGTATCTTTTGTAGCCCTGATGAAGACCTGCAAAGTGGGTCGAAACGTCGGCAAAAATTGAATAATATTATTTGTTTAATTTAGTATTTATTTGACCGCACCCCCCGATTAACGGATCTCATATTATATCAACGGTCAACCATCTCTACATCATTATTAATCATTTAAATGTTACTCGATTCTTATTTTGATTTCTTTGGCCGATTCAATTACTTGGCACATATATTTACTTTTCGGAAAATATTTAAAAAAAGAAAGTGTACAGAAGAAGTAAGGTTTGGAAAGCAGGAAGGCTAATGATAGATTAATATGCTCCACGACCCCGAACTAGAGGAATCAGTATATGGAACGAAAGTGGCTCCGTGGAACAGTCGGCTGGGGGGAGGGGAGAGTTGATGATATAACAAACACATGGGTTTGAATAATAATGAATAATAATTTCATACAATAGCTTCGTAACATACCTAGTTATGAACAGTAGTATCAAGGTAGATTTTCTTTAAAAGTGTGTGTAGTAATAGGAATATATATATTTCTTTGGCATTATACTTTGCTGATGTGACCTTCTATCAGTCGATCGATTCAACTGTTTTATTTTAAAAGGGTTTTCAGTTAATTTTTTTGTTGTTTATTTAAAACCTTGAAACTATTTTTAAAAACTAAGATTGCAAATGTAATGTCTAACTGTTAAAACGTTATATTTTTGTTGATATGATTATATTATTTTAAGTTAATAATATATACACATGATTTTATTATTATTATTATAATTAAATTATTGATATAATTTATTTAAATAAAATTTATAAT